TTCCCCAGCCCCATTCCCCATCCCAATTCCCCATTCCCCATCCCCATCCCCATTCCCCATCCCTGGGTGTCCATTCCTCCATCCCCAATTCCCATCCCTGGCTCTCCATTCCCCATCCCCATTCCCCCTCCCCATCCCCGGTCCCCCTGCCCGCTCCGGCCGGGCTTTCCCCGTTCTCCCGCTCTCGGGCCGTGCGTGACGCCGCCCGCAGCGCTGGGCTGGGCGCTGCTGGCCGTGCTCTCGGTCAGCCTCCCGTCGGCGCTGGCCGCGGCGCTGCTGCCGCTGCGGGCCCGCGGCTCCCGCCGCTCGCTGCTCGCCTTCCTGGTGGCGCTGGCCGTGGGGACGCTCTGCGGGGACGCGCTGCTGCACCTCTGGCCGCACGTAGGTACCGCCGCGGCGGCGGCTCCGGGGGCGCACCGACCGCCGGTGCGCCGGTGCCCTGAGCCGCCGCCGCGTGCTCCGGTGTGCAGGCGAACGGGAATCACCCGGAGGCAGCGGGGGAGCCGAGCCCCGCCGTGCTGCAGGGGCTGGCGGTGCTGGCGGGCATCTACCTGCTCTTCGTGCTGGAGCTGCTCCTGGGGATGCTGCGGCACCGGCGGGAGGCCACGGTGAGCGGCGGGCACCGGGAGGGCGCGGGGACGCCACCGGGGCTGGCTCCGCACACGGCAACTCCGTTATCCCCAGGGACGCCCCCACGGAGAGACCCCCGGGATGGGCGCGGGGGTCCTGGCACCGTCACGGGCAGGTACGACCCCCTCGCACCCCCCGCCAGAGCCGCCGGTCCCGGCGCGCACCGGACGGAGCCCGGCTGTCCGTCCCGCCGCAGGGACCGAGCTGCGGCGCCTGACGGCTCCGGGAGCGGAGCTGGAGCCGAGCCCCGGCGAGCCGCACCGGGAGCTCCCCCCGGGACCCTCGCACGGGCACTCGCACGGGCCCGCGCTGCCCCTCGGGCCCGGCGCCGCCGACTTGGCGTGGATGGTGGTGCTGGGAGACGGCGTCCACAACCTGACCGACGGGCTGGCCATCGGTGCGGGCGGGACGGGGCGGGATGGGGACGGGAACGGGAACGGGAACGGGAATGGGAATGGGACGGGAATGGGAACGGGAACGGGAACGGGAACGGGAACGGGAACGGGGATGGGGACGGGGATGGGAACGGGAACGGGAACGGGAACGGGAACGGGAACGGGGTGGGAACGGGGCGGGATGGGGACGGGAACAGGAACGGGAACGGGGACGGGAATGGGAATGGGAACGGGAACGGGAAAGGGGTGGGAACGGGAATGGGAACGGGAACGGGAACGGGGACGGGAACGGGAACGGGAACGGGGCGGGATGGGAACGGGAACGGGAACGGGAACGGGGACGGGGACGGGGATGGGAACGGGAACGGGGACGGGGCGGGATGGGGACGGGGACGGGAATGGGAACGGGAATGGGAACGGGAACGGGAATGGGAATGGGGACGGGGATGGGGATGGGGACGGGGAGGGGGACGGGAACCGGAACGGGGGCGGGGACGGGAACGGGGCCACAGGGGCACAGCAGCAGCCGCGGGGATGCGGAACCCCCTCCTCCCTCCTCCCTCCCTCCCTGCCCAGGCGCCGCCTTCTCGCACAGCGTCTCCAGCGGGCTCAGCACGGCGCTGGCCGTGCTCTGCCACGAGCTGCCCCACGAGCTGGGTGAGTGCCCGTGCCCCCCGAGCCCCCCGGGCTGGGGACACCCCCGAGACCCCCGAGCCCCCCGAGCCCCCAGAGACCCCCGTGCCCCCCGGGCTGGGGACACCCCCGAG